AGGTCCGGCAGCTCCTTGTGGAGGTGGTCCGCCAGCAGCAGAAGGCCGCCCTGCGTCCCCCCGAGCACTCGTTCGGCCGCTCTCTGGCAGACCCTCCTCCGGACACCCAGGGACGCTTCCTCAACTCGCTGCTCTTCGGCGACGGACCGGCGTGAGTGCGCAGACGCTGCTTAGGCCGGCGCTTCCTGATCAGGCGTAGTCTGATATCGCCGCCTTATTTTTTCTTTAACGGGACCCGATCGGCTTTAACAGTTATCATGTATCTAGTGGAGCTCATACCGGTAGGTCTCTCTGGTGTTTACCGCGGACAGCTCTGAGCTCTCGGCTCCGCTGGCCGGCTCCCGCTCTCTACCGCTGGCCCCTCTCCCTCTCTCCGCCAGGGACCCGTACCTCCAGGACGGCATCAGCTTCCTGCAGAACGTCAACCGGCTGGACCGGCGCCGCTGCGTGCCCCGCCTGCTCTGCTCCGCCGTCTCCGGCATCTTCACCGGCTTCGGCAGACCGACCGGGAGCGGGGCGACGCCGGCCCCGCCGACCGTCAGTCCACCGGCACCCCCTACTGTCAGACCGCTGCCACCGGCACCTCCGACTAACAGACCCCAGCCGCCGGCACCCCCTACTATCAGACCTCAGCCGCCGGCACCTCCGACTAACAGACCCCAGCCGCCGGCTCCCCCTACTAACAGACCCCAGCCGCCGGCTCCTCCCACTAACAGACCTCAGCCGCCGGCTCCTCCCACCAGCAGACCTCAACCTCCCGCGCCGCCTCCGTCCCCGATTCCCCTGCCTCCGGCGCCAGTCACAAGGCCCACTACTCGGCCTGCGCCGCCCCCCACCAGGCCTCCGTCGCCGCCGCCGCAGCCCCCGGCGCCGCCGACCTCACGGCCGCAGCCCCCAGTGCCACCCCCGGTGACGCCGCTGCCCCGTCCGCCAGTCATCCTGCCGCCGGCGCCTCCCGTCGGCGGTCCGCCGGCGCCCCCTGTGGGTCCGCCGGCGCCGCCCGTAGCTCCGCCGGCGCCGCCCTCCGACGCGCTCCGCGAGAGCCCGGACGCGTTCTTTGAGAGGCCGGTCAACACCCTGGCGTTCGGTGCGCCCGAGGTGGGCCGCAGCCTGGACTTTGGCCGGCCGGCCCGGTTCGACCCCAGCTCTCGGAGGGTATCGGTGTTCGCCGACGACACGCCGATCCTGGCTGACGACCTGGGCCTGACGCCGGTCCAGTCGCGCCACTCGCTGCCGCGCGGCCCCAACGAGCTGGGCGGCTCAGCGCCGCCGGGCCGCGGCTCCGGCAGGGTGCTGTTTATCGACCCCAGCGGGCCCGGCCAGAGCTCCGGGTTCGGGCCGCCGCCGGTGACCGCTGCCAGGGAGGTGTTCCGGGTCGGCGCGCCGGGGCCGCGGGACGCGCCTGTCGGCCGGGTCGGTCAGCCGCGGACCGGCGGCCGGGTGCGGTTCGAGGAGGACGCCGTGTCGGGCCGCTCGGCGGGCCGGCCCGTGTCGGCCGAGGAGCTGCTGTTTCCGGACGAGTTCCGGGCGCCGGCACTGCCATCTGGCGGCCGGCGCACGCTGCGCCAGGCGACCCGACCGCCCTCTACCGGGCGGATACGGTTTCCCGAGAGGAGGCGGAAGAAGAGGACCGTGCCGATCATCAGCGGCTTCCTAAGGTAGGGATGAAAAGCTCAACATCCTAAACGCACTTGTTAGATAACTAGCTGCCAGAAGTGTCTACTGAACTTTTACAAGGGTTTACCTAAGCCTTATTTAGCCTTACACTTGTTTGCGTCCTGAAACAGCAAATCTGAACGAATAGGTAGGTACCTACTGATGTCGAAAAGGAAAATATATGGTAATTTGTAGGGAAGGCTGATTCCCACGATTATCGAGAACTTGCCTGGCCTTGTGGTGTTCTTTCTTGACCATGATCTTTATACCAGGTGACTGACGAGGGACGACACGTGGCAGAGCTGGACCTGTTCTGTGACGACAGTGACCGTCGGCTGCCGGCTACAGACAGTCGGACCATTTATCGACAGTGACGGACATTCGGACCGGGTACCGACAGTCACCGACAGTGACGGACAGACCAGCTGCCGATAGTGACGGACAGTCGCACCGGGTACCGACCGTTGGACGGCTACCGACCGTCAGACGGCTACCGACCGTCGGCACTGACACACGCGGATAATCCAACCGGCTACTGACTCTGACAGACAGTCACGGACAAACTTCTACAGCCACGGACCGTCTATCAGTATCGACATTCGACACTCGACAGTGACGGACAGTCACGGACAAACTTCTACAGCCAGTAGCCACGGACCGTCTATCAGTATCGACATTCGACAGTGACGGACGGTCGCGGATAAACCGTCTACTACAGCCACGGACCGGCTGCCGACATTCACGGATATTTGAACCAGCTATCTACAAACCCACAAACCGAACAACTGTCAAGGGCGTGTGCCGTATAGAACACTTGCATGCTTTGTTTAAACGTTGTTTTTATGCATACCTACCTAATGGATTTTTATATAAGCAGGAACATATCGACAATTAGACATATCCAAGAGGGTGGACATTAGCAAGAGTATAAAAAATTATAGTATAATTTTTTATAAGCTTTTCTTAATAACCTTTTCTTATTCGGAAAGTTTTGCGACTGTCCTTATATTGGTTAGAGGCATTAGTCGTTATTTAAAGGGACCCTCCCACCTTCAAAAAAGTTAATGAATTGGCATGAAAGTGATGTCGCTCGGTTCAGAAAGAGCAAAAACGAATATCTACCAAATTTCATCGAAAAATATTCACCGGTTTTCAAGATATTAGACTTTTACTTTTGTTTACTTTTTCGGATCTCCGCTGTTCCTAGCGACTTTATTTGAAAGTGCGGCATTTGTTGCGCGCAAAGCAGCATATACCACCGCGTGCTACAAAACGTTTTAGTCAAACATTTAAAAATCGTTAGATATCTGCGCTGACGTCACACATTCAGAGGGGTATTCCTATGCATTAGCCCCTCTGAATCAAAATGCTGCAATTTTGAAATTCAATATTTCCGATTTAAGGCATTTCTCGATGTTGTGAGTGCCGAAACCGGTAATTGTGAGCCAGGGACCCCATTTTGGCTATCTGAACTCAAATCTAATGTTAAGGTGGGAGGGTCCCTTTAACTGTGCAACGTGCTGTCAGAACTTCATCATACTACAGCTACAATTACATAGTATTTATATGTATTTGTTACGCTGATTTGTCCAGTCCATCTCTTACACTGTTGAGACATTATGAGCTGCTACTAACTAATACTAACCCCTAGTTGCCGTTCCTTTCACTCACTCCGCGCTCCGGTTCCCGGCAGCCTCCCTGCCAAGGTCCCACCTGGCCCTTCTGCGACCCCCAGAATGCTGATCCACCCCTCTGACCTCTGCTCTGCCATTCTGAACCTCCAGGAAACTGACCACCCCGCCCCTGATTCCCCCAGGATGCTGACCCCCGCCCCTGATTCCCTCAGGATGCTGACCGCCTCCCTGACTCCCCCAGGATGCTGACCACGCCGCCCCTGACTTCCCCAGGATGCTGACCACGCTGGCCCAGCCGAGCGCGTTCTCGCCGTTCACCACGGCGGCTCTGGACGGCAGCACTGCCGGCTCTCGGCAGGACTGCGCCCGGCTCTACCCGCAGTGTCCCGTCAACACCCGGCCCGGCGACAGCGAGTTCCTGCACATCTTCAACAACCTGAACCAGTACGCGCCCGGGCTGCAGGACGCGCTGGGCTCGCAGCTGCTGAACAGCGTGCCGGCGCTGGACGCGTTCCGTGTGAGGCAGCGGCGGGAGGCCAGCGGCCGGCGCAGACAGAGGGGGGAGGCCAGCGGCCGGCGCAGACGGCGGCTGAGCGGGCGCCTCAGGCGGCGGCGGAGATAGACCTCAGATAGACAGAGACCGGCGCAGAGACCGGCACAGACCGAGAGACTGAACTGGCCGGCAGTCTGAGGCGGAGACGAGAGCCGGGTGCACTCGAGGAAAGCGGAGTGTAGACTTCAGCCGGGTGCACTCGAGAGGAGCGGAGTGTAGACTTCAGCCCGGTGCACTCGAGGAAAGCGGAGTGTAGACTTCAGCCCGGTGCACTCGAGGAAAGCGGAGTGTAGACTTCAGCCCGGTGCACTCGAGGAAAGCGGAGTGTAGACTTCAGCCGGGTGCACTCGAGAGGAGCGGAGTGTAGACTTCATGAGGAGCTTCAATGAAGGACGAGTGCCTTTCATTTACAGGTTTGAAACAGAAAACATCCTATTGTGCCCGAAAGTGCTGAATTTGCCGGACGAAAGACAGCTTCGAGGGTGCCATAACCTGTTAGGTGATGTTAACGATGCTGCCATCCAATTTGTTGTCTCTGGTTTGCAGTTGCTTTGGCTTATTGCCATCGCACACTTTTACATTTGATTTACAAAGCGAATGTACCCGTTTTAGTTATTAACCCTCGCCCATGTAGGGGGGGGGGGTTGGTGCAACCCCCCCCCCCTGAGGTTTTTCGGAAATAGTGCAAAAAACGGCGGCGCGCAGCGCCGCCAAATTTTGGGTACCTTATGGGGCAAACCTTGCGCATCTTTTGATAAAAAAAAATTTGACCGGGTCATGTCAGGTCACGGAGTTATGACGTCACAAAGGGAACAACCTCCGGCCGGATTTTCACAAACTGAGTGCCAACGCCCGAGGTTTCCTGCCGGTGGTACGGACATCGGTTGATGGATCGTGATGAAACTTCCCATGCATGTTGGGGCAAGTATTGGCTATCATATGGTATAAGAAACTTGACCGGGTCAGGTCAGGTCACGGAGCTATGACGTCACAAGAGGAACAGCGTCCGGTACTATTTTTGAAAAGCGCCCGAACCACTATTTTGCTAATTCTTGTCACCTCAATGGGAATATGCAGCAATATTAGCTTCTATAGGGAGCAAATGCACCTTCCAAATCCAAAAATACAATCAGATTTCAAAAATTTAAATTTTGATTTTTCGAATTTCTGCCGCCGACTGTGACCTTGCCGACTTCCGGCGCTCCCAACGCGCCATTTTTAGAGCTAGGGAAACGAAATACATACCAAACGATAGAGAATTGATCAAGGAACACGATAGTGAAGGTTTCAAGTCGATATCTCCCACCGTTTTGCCGCAATCGCCGCAGAAAGTTGAAAAAAAGTCTATTTTTTCCGAAAATTTGACCTTTGACCGGTCAAAAGTAGGTCAAATGTTGACCTAGGACCAAAAAATATACCACCAATCGCGAGATCTCGGCGAGAGCAATCCGTTGGTCTTTTCCGCTAAGCTCTACGACGCTCCGTTTTCAAACGCCAAGGGGGGGGGGGTCGCACCAACCCCCCCCCCCTGCATGGGCGAAGGTGGCAGATCGCCGTTTACGGGCGAGGGTTAACTGATAGGCACGTTTCAACGGCGAAGGGACTGTTTTTATATATGTTTTTTTAGTTTTATGTTATCGTTGTGGCAACTGAATGCATGAAAGCTGCTAACCTATAAGGAACGTATGGTCTTTTTTTATTGGTGTAACCAAATAACGTTATAATTGGCCATAGTGAATCATATCCAAATGCTATACATATTTTATAACTGGACCTAACAGACCCTGATCGGGTCTCGTTAAACTCTAAGGGGTTACTCGGAAATCGTAAAAGAGATGTTTTCCCTAAAATATATTTGGGGTGTTGGGTGTTCCTCCATTCCAACTATAACCTGAGGCCAAATCAAAGATCCTAAAAACAAAACAGCTTTCAAAAGCAACAGGGCCTTATGTGCTAAACCTTGTAAAGATAATATAAATTGCTCTCGCGTTGTTGACGAGCTATGAACCAGCTCGTCCGGAATCACCAAAACCGGGAACATCTGACCTATGCTGACTTTTGCTAGCGTGTCCAGAAAATACTTGAAAATTGCTGGTCATTTCACGATTTCTGACGACCTTTTTCTGTTACCATCGGGACACGCAGCGCCGATACACATCGTTACAGCGCGGGCTAATGACTCGACAAAACAAACACGCTACGCTCACGGGCTTCAGGCATGGCACTTGAGCTGACATCAGCATACCTACATAAACGTAAAGGCGAGGAATTCACTCCCCATTTACCACCAGTCAATAATGGCCATCCTCTATTGCAGGTGCAGCAAATCTTATTGACAGGGGCCTATTCAGCAGATTATACCTATACGGGGCCATTGGAAATGGGATGGGGGAAGGGGAGGAGAAGGGTCAGAGGCGAGATAATCGCGGCACACTTCACTAGTTCGAGGGGCTGTTTGGTAAATGGGGCAAGGTTCTTACGCATTCTTCCTTATTTAACAGGCGCGTTAATAGAGAGAAGGTTAGGGGAAGTTGGGGCAATGCCGGAGTTGGGGCAAAGCCGAAATTCGAGATATTTCTAAAACCGTACGACATGGATGCCACGTCTCAGTGATGCTCTGAAGTTTAAGTGACTACAGTTATCGCATGTTTGTTACGAGTCGTCATTTGGAATACTTCGGCTGTGAGGGCGCCAAAAGCGTTTTCAAGGAACGTTTCCCTTGTACTACATGCGCCTTTGAAGCTGCATTTCTTACTCATTATGCTACCGTTTGTCTGGCCAATTCGGTCAAGTAATCTTCAGCATGTCTTTGCATAAGTGTGCTGCCTATTTGAAATTTATACAGCACGTTTAAAAGTTATGGGCCTTCAAATGAAAGTATGGCTGGCTGGGGTAATGCCGAAAACGTGCAATTACGCACGTTAAAGCACGCTACGTGGACTTTACTGCTGTAGAATAGCAACGCGTATTTTAAGTCAAACAAATTACACTTTCAGCCGGCACAACGGCCTGTTACCTATAAGGAATGATTTACCTGGCATTTTCTTATTATATCACACAATTATAACTTCCAGTGTGCACCAAGCGTCCTCAAGCTCTTAACCCTCGCCCGTATTGGTGTTTTTCCAGCCGCGAACGTATAAGGGGGGGGGGTCCGTTGGACCCCCCCCCTTGCCGTTTCGCCCCTGATCGAGCTAGAGCTTTGCGGAAAAAACGAGCGTATTGCCCGTGACGAGAGGAAGCCGATGATACCTAATTTTAAGGTCCTAGGTCATTGGTTGACCTTGCAGGTCAGGTCAATGACCCAAAAGTCGGGAAAATCGGGACCTGTTAGAACGTCGTAAAGTGTGGCTGCTACGGGGTTTTCGGGGTGCTGATCACGATTATCATGTTAGTTTTGATCACAGATGATGTCTTCATGCATTTAGTCCAGGTCGGGTCAGGTCAGGTTAGGTCAACCAGTAGGGGTCCTGCCGGGTATTCCTAGTAGGTGTCAACCGCCTCTGACAGCTTCGTAACATGTTACGAAGGCACCAAAACTACTTCGTAAATGTTCAAATGGTTGCTAAATTCGAATTCAGCAGGAAAAACTGGCCTAGAAACATGTAAAACTCGAAAAAGTGTACCGAGGTCAGCAAAGGTCAATGACCTGACCTGACCTTCAGGTGACCTTGACACCCACCCTAACGCATGGGGGCAACATCATATCACATGTTTGAACGCTTGAAACCACGGAAAGACTGCAAACGCGCGGCTAATGCGAGCCGACATACGCCGAATCGCGATTCCGGCCAAACATGGTCTCGAAAAGTAGGTCACAGGTCAAAGGTCATTGGGGTCAGGGTCATGAAATTTTCAGAGTAGGTGTAAAATTGATTAACGCGAGGGTACTGAAAGTTTCGTCGCGATCGGCCGCTTTTTACGCGAGTTATTTGCGAAAAACCATGGGGGGGGTCCGTTCGACCCCCCCCCCCCCCTATACGGGCGAGGGTTAAAACGCGGGTCAGCTTTGATGAATTTTGGATAAACTTTGAGATAAATTGGCAAAACATCAATGTCGGCATTCCTCGTAGATCATTTATCCCATTTTCGGCTTTCCCCGCAGTCCGGGGCAACGCCGAAAAAGTCAGTTCTTTGATATTTTTAGTTTTTGCGCTTAACGGTATGCGAATTCATCAAATGCGCCTGGTTTGTTTGAAAGACAAAAGACTGGCCTCTCGAATGACGCCAACAAGAACAGCTTATGTTGTCTACTGCTACGGGCGTCAGAAAAAAAGTATTCGGCGTTCCCCCAACTTCCCCTATGGTTTTCATGAGACAATACGCTTTAGGACTGAGTGTATAGCCGTACCCGGACATTTGATGCAGCTCCTGCTTGTGAGCAGTTCAGATGGTCGTGCCGTTGTTACTGTGCTGTTGGGCTGCAAAGAGGTAGTCGGTGTGAACGAGTGATTCGGCAATGAAGGCGGATGTTGAATGGTGGTTCGGTACTGTAGGTCGGCGTAAACTGGTGATTCGGTGCTGTCCGACGATGAGAATTGATTATACGAAACTGTAAGTTAGTATGAATTGCCATTCGACGCTTTCTGGCCGAGCGGTTGGTCTGTGTGAACGAGAAGTGATAATGCTACGCTGTCGTCGCTGTCGAGAGGTAGTCAATAGGTTGCTATGTATGCATTGTTGTAGCTGATCCGGCGCTGTCACACGGCATAGTTCGGTGCGCACCGTGATCTGCAGCGACATCTGAATGTCCCGCGGATCAGCCGTATTGCTGATACAGCGGTGGATCCGCCCGCTGCCAGGCGCCCCATGAGGGGCGGACGGTGACCAGTGACCACTGACCGTGTTATGGTGTTTGGTACGATTTTGTGGTCCACTTGCAGCACGGGATGGCTCAGAGGAGACGCCGCGCATGATTCCTTTATGTCGCGGACAGCAGCGCACTTTTGCAGCCGTGTGATCGATCAGAAAGTGCTGGTTATAATTATATAAGTCGTTACTGAACCGTTCGAGTGTATGCGGAGGGGATGTGATGTCTCCCAGTCGAGAAAAGACAGCGCTGTTCCGCAGCCTGCGTTACCAAAGTAATACCTGAATGACTGTTATATGTGTTATAATATAATTAACATGTTACTTCTGTGCCATTTGTTGTTTTATCATTGAAGACCGATCTGTCCGGGCCCCTCCGGGCATCAATTTTACACATTGTGACTAACATTTTTCCAGAGGCTAAGGTTGGCCACAAATGACGTCATGCTCTGCCATGTTCGACCCAAACAAGGTTTCGCGGAAAAAGCTGCGAGGCCTACGGCTTTGAAGATACAGAAAATATTCTGGACATAAAGGGTGTAAAATTAACAGGGCTACAAACAGCTATCTCGGATTTTTATTTTTTTTATTTTGACCCCCCAAAAGTTCTTTTTTTATACAATAGCCAAAAATCACAAGCTTTCCGAATTTCGAAAACATCGGAATATATGATAGGCTCTACCGTCTTCTCTATACATACGAAATTTGAGATCGATACTTTTTTGTCCAAGTTATGTGACGTCATCGGTTGGGCTGAGGTCAATGAAATGGGGTCACAAAGTGGGGCTATCGAGTGCTGTTTGAATTTTGAAAATTAGCCGGTAACTTTCCGAGATCTTAGGGGGGACGGCGGGGCGAAACGCCCCCCCCCCCCCCCCTACGGATGGTAGGGTCCGCCGATAGCCCTACGGGGCGCGGGTTCGCATCGACTAGGAGCTAGGTGATGATGAATTATAGCGGCGAGGCCGTCCTTGCAGGCCATACATTGGTGGTCGGGCGTGTCAATGGGCGCCGGGTGGATATTGACCGCGGCCGTGCAGCACGCGGTCCCGGTACCCCTCGGTCCAGGCTGCCGAGCGCTGGCCCCTGGGAGTGGCCGTGTACAGAGATAGCGGGGCTCATGGGCGGAGATGGCGCAATGCTGTCGCCGCCACGGGGACCGTGTTCGCCCCCCTCCCCCCCCCCTCCTGACTAGTCGGAGGGCTGGGGGGCAACTGGCCGCTGCAGGCGCCGTCTCCGAGTGGTCGGACGGCGCGGGACATTCATCCTCGCCGGGCGGCGGGCCAGGGATCACGCGATGGTAAGTTCCTACCTAATATAATAATATTACCTACAGGTAATATTGTAGGCTGAAAATTAAGGCTATCCATCTTTTTAAGGCTATCTTTAGGTACTCAAATTAGTGAACTCTACTTTCGTCTAACAAGAGCCACGCCACGTGTAAAGTAGACCCAGTAGTTTTTGTTTTATTCGCCTGAAACTGAAGCTGCGTGAAACATTCGAAACTTGAAGTTATTAGCAGCGAGGGTCCTTTAGGGTTTTTTGTGATTAGGATGATCAAATACAAATCCCTCGTTTATCGCCCCAGTGACTAGTGAGCAATGAGTAGCCGCGTCCTCCGTTACCTGTGAAACTGCGACCCTTGCTGACCTTTGCTGCAGTCGTCAAGTCACGCAGTTGGGCCGGCCGGCAGTCTACTATTGACTGTCACCGGTCGATATGGAAGTCTGCAGGTTAGTTGGGCCGGCACAGCACATCTAGGCATCTGTCGCTGGTTCCACTGTGATGTCATTACAGCAGCTGAACGACCCAAGCCGGTGTAGGTATATCCGGGCTGGAATGTAACCCTTTTCATCCTTTCCTTTTATTGCCAGATGCGAAAACTTTATTTCGAACAAGTATCAAATGTTTTACAGCCATACCGTAGCATTAAACACTGAACGATGGGAGAACATGATTCATAGGTGATACGAGTGTGAATTGAAAAGGACCCAGCGTATCCTATGTACGTAACTTTATGCATGATATGCATGTGGATAAGGGTGCAATGATCGTGACATTAATGGTCACCTTCCTGACAGATGTTAGCGGGACATAACTGATCACGAACTTTTAAATGTAGTAAACGTACATGTAACCGATGGGAACACCATTCCATGCTAGCAGCAGGACATGTCAATGGATCGGACCGATAGATGACGAGATATTCAAACATATGAAGACATATAAATGCTAAGCAAACAATTTTCATTTCTACTATTTGGAATGGAACACCTGATCTTGACCCAGCCGCCGTCTTACACAAAATCTGTTAAATGCTTACCTATAAGCAAAATGAAAACCGATCTAAAAATCGTAGGAAGAACTTTATGATTATCAACAAACTTTGTTCGAGGCTCGCACGGCAATGACACAAAACATTCACTCATGATAAACATTCCTGTCAAAACCCCTGGTCGAGTACAGTCCAAGCTCTCACGGATGTCACAACCACCTGGCTGCGCCGGTGCCGCGGCGCGCCGGCGACCAATTCCTCCAGGCACGACGGTCCCGGTCACCGTTCCTCCAGATCGCCGCAGCGTCAGTCGGTCCCTGCCTGGAGGGTCCCAGGAGGGTCCCTGTAGGGTCCCAGGAGGGTCCCTGTAGGGTCCCAGGAGGGTCCCAGGAGGGTCCCTCACTCCTCCACAGCCGCCGCCGCGTTGTCACAGCCGTACATCTCCCGATCGGCGGCCTTCCCCTCAGCACCGCCGTCGCACGGGTTGTACCAGAAGCACTGGAAGAAGCGCTGATCGTGGCCGAACGCGTCGCCCTGCTCCAGCGTGTCGGGCAGCGGCCGGTGCGACGTCTCGGGCAGCGTGCTGGTCACCAGGCCGCCCAGCAGCGCCACGGCGGCCAGCACGAGCGCCGGCAGGCCGCGATCGACGCGCGCCAGCGACAGCACCACCGGACTGAGCATCACGCACGCGTGGCCGGCCACGTTGGCGACGCCGCAGGCGCGGCCGCGGATCACGGTCGGCACCAGCTCCATGTGCTGCGACCAGAGCACGTTGAAGCCGACGGTGACGCTGCAGCGGCACAAGAACGCCACCGTGGTGGAGGCGATCGGCCGGCCGCCCTCGCGCAGCAGCGACGACAAGCCCAGCGCCAGGCCGGAGGCGGTCACCATGGAGCCGCACATGCTCCAGCGGCGGCCGAGCGTCTCCAGCAGCAGCCAGGTGAAGAGGTCGGCCGGCGCCTCGGTCAGCCCCAGCAGCGACTGCGACGTGTAGACGTCCAGGTCGAGCTCGGTGCTGCGCGCGATCAGGTCGAACGCCAGCAGCGTGGCCATGGTGGCCACGGTGATGGTGAGCAGGCGCAGGCGCAGCCGCGGCAGCCGCAGCGCGTCCAGCAGCGACGGCCGCGGCTGCGACTCCTCCAGGTCGTGGTGCCGCTTGGCGGCCACCGTGAAGCTCTCGAACACCTCGTCGGGCACGTCTCGGCCGTTCTCCTTGGCGATGGCGCGCATCTCGCGCACGGCGGCGTCGACGCGTCCGACGTGCTGCAGCCAGCGGCACGACTCGGGCACGCCGAGCAGGTAGTAGAGCAGCGTCAGCAGCATCGGCGCCGAGAACGCCATCGCCACATAGGTCCAGTGGTAGAGCAGGCGCGCGATCCACGGCATGATCACCATGCCGCCGCAGAGGGAGGTGGCCAGCGGCACGTTCACCACCATGGCGCGGTGCCGCGGACCGACAAACTCCGACATCAGCACGATCGCCTGCGTCGTCATCTGGTTGTTGGCCAGGCCGGCGACGAAGCGCAGCGAGGCGAACACCGGCAGCGACGAGACGAACGCGCAGGCGAACCCGGCCACGCCGCAGACGATGTTGGAGAGCACGAGCACGGGCAGCCGGCCGACGCGGTCCGAGAGGTGGCTGAAGCCCACCGTGCCCACCATCGAGCCGGCGAAGAAGGCGCTGTAGGCCAGCGTGGGCTTCCAGGCCTGGTCGCACACCCAGTCGTTGTCGGAGACGATGGTCGGGTAGATGAGCGAGAAGTCGTAGGCCCAGCCGTGCCGACACGCCACCGTCGGCGTGTCGTTGGCCGGCGCCCACGAGTCCGGGTCGACCGTGCCGAAGTCGACGTCGTACATCCGGCACTGGGAGTGCTTGACGCCGGTGCTGCGCGTCTCCAGCGGTGAGCTGAGGTTGCGGATCTGCTGCTGCGTCCAGCCGCGCGCCTCCAGCGCCGGCACGCGGCACCAGTGGTCCGGCTCCAGGGTCAGCCAGATCTGACCGAAGTAGTTAAAGGCGAGGAAGAAGAACGGGAGCTGCAACAGCAGGAACAGTCGCCACTGAAAGCGTCCGAAGTCACCAACCAGGTTCAGCAGCTCGTCGAAGTCGCCCTCGAACTTCTTCGGCCACCGCCCGGCGGGAAGTGAGCCGGACGGGCTCTGGCCGCACTTGTCTGGCGTCTGCAGCGGCGTCATGCGCTCCTCCTGCGCCAGAGGCGCCAGCCGCTCCTGCCAGCCGGCGCGCGGTGTGGCCTGCTCGCCGCTGGGAGCGGTGCGCCGCTGTCTGGCCAGCACATCCGGGGCCGGCGGCTGGACGGGCCCCTGCTCGGCGCCCCTACCCGCCCCGTCCTGACCGGAGCCGGTACCGGCGGTGGAGCCCATCGCGGCGCGGCGCTCGGCCGGCGCAGAGGGCCTCTGCTGACCTCTGACGTCCCCGGAGCGGTGGGTGGCCGCTCCCAGCGCGGTGTCGACCGTCGGCCGCCCGCTGACGGCACTCGCTCGGGCCCGCTGCAGGCCGCCGCTGACCTCTCGGGTGGTATGGCAGGCCGCTCACAACTCGGTAGCGGCTACCCAGTGACGCCACGACCGTACCTGAGAATCAATATCGCATCGGGCCAGTGTGTCAGTGTGATAAAGAGCTCGGATACGAGGAGAAACCGTTCAACAATGTTGTTCACACACGCCACCGACAATAAGTGACTGGTCACTGGTCAGGCCGGATTCGCTCGTTGGTGATTTTAATTGAGAACACATAACGATTATTGACCCGTGCATGACTGGGGTATTTCCATAACGCGGGTGACTGGGGGAGGGGGCTCTTATCTCCAAAACGACTGGGCTGAATGTCAAAATTCAAACAGCTTCTGATATCCCTATCAGACAAATTTTCGAGGGAACCCAATTTCATTGACCTCGAAGTCACCGATGACGTCACAGGTCAGGTTAAAGTAAAAACTATCAGGATTTTGGCTTCTTCACAATCTGGGCTCTGACTGCCGGCTTGCAAGTACGATCAGGCTCATTTTTTACACTTTCGTTGATATATGCCTAAGATACCCTGAGGGTACCTAACTTTGTAGGTACTTCGAATTTGTCAGGTCAAGGTCAGGTCATCCTAGGTCACGGAATTTTATGTCATGCACTGGTCAATGTTCATGTGACACGTGTTATATGGTCCACTTCAGGTTTCGAAAACAGTGTCGTCTTTGTCATTTGAGGCCAGCTTCAGCTGAGTTCAGCTGAGGTCAGGTCACTTTCAGGTAAAAGAGGTCAAACTTTTGAAGAAATTAAAAAAATATGTGTGAGATGCAGTTTGAGCTCAGGAATAGGGGAGAGTGGGGCAATGGCGGACGGTGGGTAACAAGATACCTATAAGAAACAGGTAGATCCGATGTTTGAAAGTAAAGCCCCAGTCACAAATTTGACGCACCTGTGACATTTCCTGACACCCACGTGACTATTGTATTAACTTTTGTGTTTTGCGATGTTTTGACCTTATTTAAAGTACTGAAAGCTCAAAATGTATGATTAATGTTGTTTAAAGCAGCATATTAATAATTATGTTTGTAAATTATCGATAAGCTGCTTATAGCAGGTCACGTGATTGCTACCAGCTTATGTGCTCAGAAAGCATCTTTTCAACTTCGATTTTGAACAATTTTTACCTCCTTTGAGGCCAAATGATGGACGGTTTGAGGCTCACGATGAAATACTGAATCTATTGATGCCAAAATTTGTTCGTTTTTTGCATTTTTAGACTAGTATATCCTGGCTCAAACTTTAACCAGTTTGTGTGTAAACCCTATGGTGAAGGGAAAACTTCACGCCCAGCAGACGTCATTACAGTGCTGCCAAATCGTGTTTGGTGGGGGTCGGTGGGTAATGCCGGCCACCCATCTCTAGTGAGTACTTTGTCCATCACTAATCAGCTGATGTTGTTTACATTTCAGTTGAGCGCCATTCTAGCACGTGGTGCAAGTTTGTCACGGTAGCTCCATTATTTTCATTTTTATAGCGTTAAATGTGTTTTTCGTATCTGATTTTTGATTTTTGTTGCATCTATTTGCTGACTGTGAAATGTGTTAACGCATTTTCAGAAGTGCTGCTTTGCAATGACCTTCAATTAAGCCTTTTTTAGGCGACTGCTGGATGTGAGGCGTTTGCGGCGCAATGCCTTTGACTGCTGCCTGCTTTCTTAAAATAAAGCTGACCTCGGGGTAATACCGGACACGTGTCCGGAATGACTCCACGCGGTTTTGTTTGTGACTTCTGTCGTTAAAGCTCAACGTTGCGGGTTGCTGTGTTTGACAGTTTACAGCTGTGTTAGTTTGCTTGCTGTGTTTACGGTTGTGTTAGTTTGCTGCTCTGTTGGCGCCGCGCTGTTGTGTTGCAGCGAGTGCAGTGTTGTGTTGCAGTGCAGTGTACTGTTAACTGCTGAATACAGTTGTCGTTCCTTAATTCTCACTTAAATTTCCATCGAAAGAACGGTGTAAGGATGAATACCAGTGACGATATTTCGACTTTTTGTGCTATAAGCTATTGCACTTAGTGGCCGGCATTACCCCTCGCTTTTTTGCACCTCCATTTTACACCACATTTTCGCGTAGGCTCTGAATCTGTCATAAGTGATCTGAGATACTAAAACTGGGTGCTATCTGAAAGCCTATTCCTTTGGCTATAACCACAGTCAAAATCACCATAAAATAGCTTCAAATAGCTAAGCTATTGAGCAAAATGCTTATGGTGTCGCCATTGCCCCACTCTCCCCTACGATGGTGCTATTTATTTTGGTGTACGGTGTCGAAAACGCGGTACTAACTAAAAAATTGATCTGATAATACACCAGAGGTAATCGCATCTTTCTCCAGTCTAGTCAAAGTCATTCTCAGTCTCAGAGCCTTTCCAGGAACAGCTGACCTTGGTCTGACCCAGATGTCTGGAGTCTCCCCGACGGCAGCTCTCCGACTATTATGGAGCCTCGCCGACTGCAACTCTCCGACTATTATGGAGCCTCTCCGACTGCAGCCTATTCCCGGGACGCTCTACCAGCCATGAGCCAGCTCTTGTTTACCCTTCACTGGCCACACTGCTCTAACATGAGGCTGGTCCGCCCAGGATGGGCCGCCGTTGCTCCCATGCAGTAACTTTATAAGACCATCTCGCGGGGTCGGCCGAGTCTGTGCGCCGCCGCGCCCGTCCAATTCCCTCCACTGTCACTATGTGTGTGTGTGTTCTGTGAATCCGATATGATGTGCCGTGATAGGTCGGCAGCTTCAGGGCTTCCGATCAGCGTCAGTTTGCGCTGACGGCGAGTGACGCGCCGCGCCTCCATCGGACACGTACGGGCGCGACATTAAACTGATTAGTGCGCCGCAGAATCCCCCGGGAAATCAGTGTCGCCGCAGCCAGTCCATCACACACTGCTGCAGACAAACAGTCACCGCGCTGCCAGAGTCGGCCGGCGGCGCAAACAGTCACCGCGCTGACAGAGGCGGCCGGCGGCGCAAACAGTCACCGCGCTGACAGAGGCGGCCGGCGGCGCAAACAGTCACCGCGCTGACAAAGCCGGCTGACAGCGGCCACAGTCACCGCGCTGACAGAGTCGGCCGGCGGCGCAAACAGTCACCGCGCTGCCAGAGCCGGCTGACAGTGCCCACAGTCAACGCGCTGACACTCGGCTGACAGTGGTCACTGTCACCGCGCTGACACTCCGCTGACAGCAGCCACAGTCACCGCGCTGACACTCGGCTGGCAGCAGCCATGCAGTCACCGCGCTGACACTCGGCTGACAGTGGCCACAGTCAACGCGCTGACACTCGGCTGAGCTGACAGTGGCCACAGTCACCGCGCTGACACTCGGCTGACAGTGGCCGCTGTAGCAGTGTCGTTTACCCACGTCTCTTCTCATGGAGTGGGAATATACCGCGTCACCGCCTGTGGGTATTTTCACCAAACGGCTTACATCAAAGGTTCACGGCGTTCTACGTTTTCCGCTGAAAGAACTTTATTTTCACCAAATTTCAATTCATGACCCGACCTCATTTTATGTTGCAATGCTACAACCGCAATGCATTTCAAACAGCCGTGGAGTGGGGTAGTGGGGTAACCGGACAAAAAGTCAAAAGGAATAAAGTCAAAAGACAAATAGTCAAAAGACAAAAAGTCAAATGCAAAAAGTCAAACGGGTTAAAAGTCAAAAAGATAAAAGTCAAAACGGATAAAAGTCAAAAGACAAAAAGTCAAAAGCATAAAGTCAAAATGTGCCAAAGTCAAAAACGCAAAAAGTCAAATGACAAAAAGTCAAAAATGCAAAAAGTCAAAAATGAAAAAGTCAAAAGGATAAAAGTTAAAACGGAAAAAAGTCAAAAGACAAAAAGTCAAAAGCAAAAAGTCAAAACGTGTAAAAGTCAAAAGACAAAAAGTCAAAAATGCAAAAAGTCAAAAGGATAAAAGTCAAAGCGGAAAAAAGTCAAAGCGGAAAAAAGTCAAAAGACAAAAAGTCAAAACGAGCAAAAGTCAAAAGACAAAAAAGTCAAAACGGAATAAGGTCAAAAGACAAAAAGTCAAAAGCAAAAAGTCAAAACGGGTAAAAGTCAAAAGACAAAAAGTCAAAAAATGAAAAAAGTATAAAATAGAAAAGTCGAAGTCAAAGTCTGAAATAAAAAGTCAAAAGAATGAAAGTCGAAGCATCGATCTTTTCATCTTTTGAAAAATATTATACAGCGCAACGTACCCTTCCCACTAAAGTTGTAAGGAACATGTGAGTACGCGAGGGATTCTGACAGGTACCGGGGTCCGCAGCAGCGGGGCAGGGACGCTGGCTGCGGTGGTGGGGCCCACGCTCACATAATACGCGTTGAGCGCTTCCGGCGTGCACGCTGGCGCAGCAGCAGTGGCACTCTTCCCCGCCCCGATCACCGGCCGCAGCACTGTCCACATCCTCGCCGGTCCTGCCTCACGCAGCTGGTCAGCATATTATGCCGCGTGGTCACGTCTGATGGCCGCTCGACAACACCGCGGTTCACCACCGTATACTCGGCGCGCGGGCCGAGCAGTGCGTGCCGCCGCGCCAGCAGCGCTCGCGTGGCGTCCGTGGCGCGCGGAGCACCGGGCGGCGGCAGCCCCTCCCCCATGGGAGAGGGTGAAAAGCAGTGCCTCCTCTAAGCAGTTTTGACTGGGGGGCCCGATCACGGGCAATGACTAAGATAACCCCTACCAAAAACGTCTAAGACTAAAAAAATGACTAAGGTACCCCTCAGTGACCAGTTTGGAGGATGACTGCGGGGGCTGCAGCTCCCGCAGTTAACATGTTAGAGGAGGCAGTGGCGCAGCCAGGATTTCGTTTCGGGGGGGGGGGGGGGGTAATCGCCTCCAAAGCGGGC